ATTATTTTTGTACCGTACTTTGATTTCAATTATAGGCGTTGGTGACCTGCTGGGTTTCTTGAAGCTCATTATACGTGGTTAACAATTTCAGATGAGAGCAAGGAAGCAAGAAGTGATGGTTGATCAAGACTGTCGACGAATCCTTTCACTATGGATGCCTGGGTCATCACAATTGGTATCAGAGCAAGTGTAGTGAAAGGATTTGATTGATAGTTTGATAGAATGGATAGTTTCAAGTGCATCATTTACATAGTGAATGACATGTGATTGAATGAACTGTATGACCGTATGATTTCCGACGAGTTTTGATTTTGATTCGATTTGATTTGAGTTTTGATGGGATGGATTTGTTTTGTATCGATTTTGTTTGCGCCCTTAAGGGAAATGTCGGGGATGACATTTTTCTTAAGGTGGGTAGATTGTAAAACCCCTCCGAAGTTGCTTTTTTTTAGTACAGTTAGTCCAGATGAACTGACTTTAGTACGGGACGAACTGAAGAAAATTGTGAAAATCTGTATGGTTAGTACAGACGAACTGTCTGGACCAACTGAGTAAAAATGCAGGTTCGTCTGGACGAACCTGGGTACATCGGGACGAACCGAACAGAGAGTTTCGTCCATGGACGAAATAAATTGGAATTAATTTTCGTCTGTATGATCCGTGTCCAGAGGAGTTCGTCCCGGGATGAATTGGAATCGTCCGGGATGATCCTGCTTGATAAATTGAGGATTTGAGATATTTTTGAAGAGAGAGAAAAAGGCAGGAGAGATAAAGAGAAGGAAAGAGAAAGAAGTGGCTTGATTTCGGAGGCCGAGGAGCGCTTTTTGTCCGTCGTCGCTGTTAGAAGATTTGTTTGTCTCAAAGGACTCCAAATCCTATTTCTGATTTCGAAGATTTTGTGTTTTGGTACTTTTTTGATCTGTTTTGTGTTTTCGTTACCGAAAAACGCGCATAATTTTGTAATGACGAAAGTTTTACCGCACAACTTTTGATATATTTCTGATATGATATTTCTGCACAATTTGAGTATTTTCTGTAAAGTTTCTACCGGTTATTTTGAGTTCTGTGCGATTTTTATCGAATAGAAAATTATCAGAATGTTGGAAAATGTTGCTTCAGTACAAGTAAAGCTTTGTAAAGTTGTTTTATTCGATTTCTGGTAATTTGGTATTTTTCGGGAACAGTGCATTTTTGCAACGACTTCTATCTACTATACGATATTTTCAGGGGTTTTTCGACATTGAGCTAGGTTGTGTTTATTGATCGCAATACCTTGTGGTTATGCATACGAATGTGGATATGTGATTGATATACTATTACTTTACTGAAAGATAAGTGAATACTGGTTGAACCGTTGGTTGGATATTATTCAACCGACGGGTACAGAGTGACGACTCTTATTGAGCCAATGGATATGGATATGGAAATAGATATAGATATGGATATGAATATGGATATAACGACACAACGATACATCGATACTTGAAAAACACCTTAATAGCCAGTGATTGTACTTGTCGATTAAGACTATGGTATTGTATGGCTTGTGTAAGTACTGCTCTTATGATATTATTATGGATTTATTGATTACTGTATGCATTTATTTATACCGTCGGATTTATTGATTTAATTGATTTTGAATGGATTTATAGATTTCTTGATATCGACGAATTTAATGTATTGGATTGATTTCGTGACGAATAGATTTATTGGTGGATTTACTAGTTTACTGTTATTGTACGTGTCACTGTATATAGATACTGATATTGATATTGATATTGTATCGATTCATTGATACTATGGACATGGATACTATTGATTCATTGATACTATCGCTTCATTGATACTCCGTATTGAACTGTTGCATGTGATTCATTAATCAATATGGAATAGGTTTTATTGTATTGATTTGATTTCAACCGTTCTTACGATGTATTGTTTTGATTGTTTTATATGATTTCATACCGATTGATATTATTGACCAGAGGTGATTGATTCCATTGATACGATATTGATTTAACTGATATTATCGAGACGACAATTTTTCTCTATTGATTTGATTGATCGATTTAACTGAGATCCTTCCGAATAAAGATTTTTCTAATGTTTATGGATTCTTCCGAGATTTGACGTATGTACGGATTTATTGAGCTTTATGGATTTTTTCCTACTGGTTATCGATTCTTTTACTGATGATTGTGAATTTTATCAATCATGCATTGATAACCGATTTTCGTATCTGCTTCATAGATTCACAAATCATGTGCAAGTGACTGACACTGATTTGACGGATTGACATGCATATTATTTTCGTACCGTGCTTTGATTTTAATTATAGGCTTTGGTGACCTGCTGGGCTTTTTGAAGCTCATTATATGTGGTTAGCAATTTCAGGTCAGAGCAAGGAAGCAAGAAGTGATGGTTGATCAAGACTATCGACGAATCCTTTCACTATGGATGCCTGGGGCGTCACACCTTGTGTCTCACACCATTTCCCAATCACGCCCTAGTACTCGGCTGCAAGTGGACGTACAAAAGCAAACTGAACACATATGGGACGGTTCATCGCTACAAAGCCAGGCTTGTTGCTCAAGGCTACACCCAACAGTATGGTGCCAACTACCAATAAACCTTCAGTCCCGTGGCAAAGATGCCAACAATCCGAGTGCTTCTAATCATATCCTTCCAACGGAGCTGGCCAATCCTACAATTTGACATTGTTAACACCTTCCTTCACGACAAACTTCAAGAAGAAGTTTATATGCAACAACTACAAGGCTTCATTGATCCCATGTATCCCAATCATGTATGCAAACTAAACAAGCCCATCTATGGCCTCAAGAAGGCACCACGACAATGGTTTCACAAGCTTACGACGTTTCTGCTTTACTTTGGCTTTCGATTCAGTAAAGCCGATCCATCCTTGTTAATCTACAACATTCCGAACATTCAAGTTTACATATTGGTATATGTCGATGAACTGATTCTGACGGGAAATCATCCCCCACCATTCAGACACTTCTCTCTCAACTAAAACAAACATTTGCACTAAAACAGCTGGGTACGGCTAATCTCTTTCTCAGCATACAGATCAAGCACACCACCATAGGACTATTTCTACATCAAGCACACTATGCCAAAGAGATCCTCCACTCCTCTGGGGTTGACTCGTTCAAACCAGTCACTACACCCATCTCTCCAAAGGATTCTCGGATCACTACCGACCATCCTCAGTATGAGAACCCAGCCTTCTACCGTCAACTCGCAGGCTCCTTGCAGTATTTCATAGTGACAAGGCCGGATATCGCCTTTACAACCAACGTTATATGTCAACACATGCACAATCCGATAGTTCGAGATTATCAGTTCCTCAAACTCCTTCTCAGATACATCAATGGCACTCAAGATTTTGGACTACCTATTTCCTCTGGCAAACTCACACTCACCACGTACACCGATGCGGGCTGGGCATCCAACACAAAGGATATGAAGTCCATTACGGGATTCTGCCCATACTTAGGTCCAAATCTCATATCGTGGAGTGTCAAGAAACAAACTACAGTGGTGAAATCCTCAACCGAGGATGAGTACAGGGCCTTGGCAGCAACAACCTCAGATGTTCTTTGGCTACGTCATCTACTTGATGACTTCCATGCTCCACAATCCCAGCCTACCACAATCTTCTGTGACAACGTATCTGCCATAGCACTCGCTCACTATCTCGCCTTCCATGGCAGGACCAAACATATCAAAATTTTCATCAGTGACCACATTAAGAACAAAGCCATTGAAGTCTCACACATAAGCTCCATTGACCAGTCGGCGGACATACTTACCAAACCTCTCACCGCAATCAAGTTTGCTGATCTTTGAAACAAATTAACTATCTGCAAACCAGACAGTCAATTTGAGGGGGGCTGTTAACACACCATTTAAAACACATGCAGCTCATCTATCCTAACGTGCTCCATCTACATCAGGAGCACGAACCCATCCAGCTGCTATAGCAGTCTGCCACAAACGGCAGCATGACATTCCCTAACTACTTGCTCCCTAATACCTCTTACAAAAACTCTTGTATTATGCATTTTCTGGTTATGCAATGAAATGGAAATTCCTTCGTCTTCCTATCATTTTTTTCCATTCTACTAACCTGTGTTGAAGCTCTTTTACCGGCTAGACTTACATCATATGTAATGTGTGTGTGTTTATCTTTATTGGCCTAAATGTAAAAAAGAAAAAGTTATCTTACTGTGATTAGACAAAGACCAAAGCCAAGCAAAAGTTGACACAAAAAATATGTACATGCATCAAACAGCTAAAATTTTTAAGCCAATTTTTCATCTGCATAAAACCTTCAAATTTATATTATATAAATATATTTTTATTTCCTGTTAGAAGTTTTTTTCTTCTATTAAACTTGGAAAGAAGAGGTCAGACCACAGCCCAATTTGGCTAACCGAAGCTCCGAAGCCAAAGGAAGTCGTTTTTTCATTTTTTTTTTTTGGAAAAAAAAGGGCCTCCTTTAATTATAAAATTTAGTTGAAACAAATGTCTAACCTTCTTTCTTTTTTCCGTAAAAAAAAATAAGTTCAACTTGTCTGACCAAATTCTGATAAGAATAAGTCATATATTCATTAAATTCTTTTTAATGGAAATATAATATAAATTTTATTTTTATTAATCATATATTACATTAACTTCAAAACAAAAAATGGTTATAAATATAAAAAAAAATATTCTAAAATAACGTTAATTACAATATTTTATTAATTTCACTTTGATTAAAAATTATGTCTGAATAATTTAATTTAATATAATATTTTTAAAAATATATTCATATGAACTTTTGCACTCTATATATAAGAAGCTGGGACGAGCTAGGAGAGATGCATGGTGCGGCGATTCGAACGTAGCAATTAGATTGGTAGTGAAAGGAATCGGCAGAGGCAGAGGCAGAGGAGGTAGCTCGTGGCCTCGACGACACCGCAAGCAGTAGAATGGCGGATCCCGTCGTGCCTGTTGACGGACTTGTCGTTCCTGCCTCTAATGGCCTCCCCCCTCACTCCCAGGATTCCGTCATCAATCTCGACCAGTAAACCCCCATTGAACGAATCTCAAAGTCCTTACATCTGTTTTTTAATTGACATCATATTAATTATCTATATATTATACTAATATCCAATTGAAATTAATAATTTAAAATTTTATTTTAATCATAAAATATTTTGATTTAATTTATCCCTTTCACTTTATTGCAGTGGGGATCCAATGATATATGAGAAGTTTTGGAAGGAAACAGGGGATGTGTCTTCATTTAAAATAGAAGGATGGGAAAACTTGAGCTACTTTTCGAACCGGAATAATCTCTGTTGGTTTCTCCACCATGAGTTTGCTAGTCAAGTCCGTCGAATCCATAGACTCGTGGGCAATGCTTCTGTCGATGAAAATTGCCACATTGTTGTAGGTAATGGCTCCACACAACTATATCAAGCCGCCATCTACGCTCTCTCCACTCATCCAAGCTTGGCTGAGACCTGCCGCCCCATACCCGTCGTCTCCGTTGTTCCTCATTACTCGGTATTGAATCAATAAATTTTACAACTAATTATTCTTTTACTCAAAAGCGTATTTCGTGTTAATCTTCATGTTCATGCTTAAAAAGTAAATACTAAGAAGAATTAACCATCCCAACAATCGAAGGTGAGCATGATATTATATCTTTAATTGAATCAGGTAATATTGTAATAAGATTTACTACGAGTGAGATTCTAGAAAAGAATAAGAAGAAGTCGACCTTGAATACAATCAATTGTTTGTTATGCAAATGACTCCCCTTTTATAAATATATCCTACTTGATTTAATTTGTAGAACCATATAGATGAACCCATTATAGCAACCCTTTAGAGTCATTGCCTCTTTTAAGGCATTTTGTTAGTAGATGGTAATTGGACTTAACACATAAGGATCTTCAGAATAAGAAATTATATAAAGCCATTCTCATCATCAATTTTATTAAAGTCACTACCAAAGGAAAGAAGTAGAAGATTGAGTCAAAAGACTCATTGTAGAATGCTGTTTGCACCTTTAAAGAACAAGATTGAGGCTTTATATGTTGCCCATCTTTAACCATTTCTATGAAATACAAATCTTTAGGATTGAAGTCATTTGCACTCATAAATTCATGGAGTTAATTATCTAGATTTACTCAATTTTTTTGTTTGTGCTAAGTAATTCTTCCACAGCTAATTTAGTGCGGATTTGTTTCTCATATGATTTATCTTGCTCTTATTTTTGCTTTTCCTTAGCACAACTTCACTTGAGAAAAATCTTAAGTAGTGGTTGACTACAAGTCATCTTCGAGTTTGTCAACTTTTGATCGGTAGTATTAATTTTAATGGTAGTGTTTAGTGAAATTAAATTACATTTTTATCTCTTATTGAATGTAACCTTAGTGTCGAGTAGAACATACTTTATCATAGTTTTAATCTTAATGTTGATTTCAAGTCAAAGTTGTTACTATCTTCAAATTGACTTTTAAGTAAGCCTTTCAATGAAAGACAACTTCTTACTGGTCCATAAAGCAATTTTCCTCTTCTAATAGTAGGATTATTATTTTAATTTTAAAAATAATTTCACTGTTCCTCGAGGATCTTAAATATTATTCTCTAAAAGTATAAAATACGTTAAGAATTTTTATGTTAAATTTTTTGTTCTCTTTCACGCATGCATAGACACACACTCTCTCTTTTTTTTTTTTTTTTTTTTTTTTTTTTTTTTAAATAAATCTTAATGTTGATTTCAAGTCAAAGTTGTTACTATCTTCAATTTTACTTTTAAGTAAGCCTTTCAATCAAAGACAACTTCTTACTAGTCCATAAAGCAAATTTTTCCTTATAATAGTGGGATTATTTTTTTAATTTTAAAAATAATTTCACTGTTCCTCGAGGATCTTAACTATTATTCTCTAAAAGTATCAAATACATTAAGAATTTTTATGTTAATATTTTTTTTCTCTTTCACGTGTGCATACACACACACTCTTTTTTTTTTTTCTTATCTTCTTCTTAATGACTTCTCCATGTTGTGGAGTAGAGGAAAAGGCTTGAAACATTTCCAAGAAATTGTATTCTTTGCCCTCTTCAATTACACCAAGTATAGTGAAGGTCATTCAGATTTATAAGGGGTGAAGATGAAAGTTTTGTCATTAGGAAACTTAATGATGGTTAGTATCACAAATAATTTCACAATGATAAGCTTTATTTCTACAAAGATCAGTTCTAACTCAGCTTTGGTTTCTTTTCTACTAGGTGTTCACATATATTATGAATTCTTGTGGAGCAATTTCCACACAAATAATATTAAAGTCTTTCACAATCTGTCTCTTTGTTCTATACATGCAAGAGAAGAAAGTTCCTTGGAGATTAAACTTAGTTATATAGTTTCTATGAAAGCTTTCCAACATAGAGACTAAAATTATGAATTGGCCGGAAGTCAAAATTCTTATGAAGTCTTTCATAGGGTGGTTCGAGTTGCTTTATAATGGAGGAACTTGAATTTTATTTACCATCAACCATTGAGAACTGATTATTTCTGAATATAAATACGAATGGTTGAATGTGAAATTATACCTCATTAGAGAATGTCAAGACGGTTTTTAAGGTAAAGTTATTAGAAAGATGTTTGAATCCTCTTTGTTAAGCTTTTAAGATCTTTATTGTTAACATAGATAAAAAACTGCATCTTCCTATCTAGAAGTTATTGATGACCCAATGGTATCAATGTTTCTTAGTAGAGAAGGTTTTCTTATGATCAAGAAACCTAAAAAGAAGAAATCAAAGAGTGGTATGCAAGTAGTGACTTTTGAATAGTATGTCGATCTTGATATAGAAGCCACTACTAATGATCACACTATTTTTTAAAGTTCTAATATTTCTACATTGACTTCTATTATTCCATCAACTTCTATTACTACTCCAATAATTTCTATTTGATTGATTAATCTCACTCTTATAGAGACTATTATTGATTTGGTGAGTACTTATGGAGTTAGTCACTCTATACTATTCAATTGAGTCTTATAAAAGGCCAATATCCTCATGTCTACCAATGAATTTAGGCTTGTTATTGATTCTTATAAAAATTCCTTTATCCAACGTCATGGAATTATTATTAAGAAGAGGGCAACTAAGTGGGAAACATAGGAAAAAACCAACATCATGCTGGCAAGAAGTCTTTAGAGGAGGTTGTATATACTTAATAGAAGTTGGATGAGATTGATTCAATGAAGCCTAAGAAAGACAAATCCTCTAAATCCTTGGTTGAAATGAAAGCCAACTAGGTTGATTCTAGAAATAATATTAATGTTCTTAATGAAAGTTTATTTGAAAAAGAGGCATTTCTAGTAATGATGTCTATGATTACTGAAAGTACTTGTTGTGACTTAGAGGTTGTTAAATCAAGGGCAAATCAACTTCATGTGGAAGTTTAAAACTAGCAAAATAAGAATGACAATCAAGACAAGTCTTATATATCCATTAAATCCAAGAAGAGGTATACACTTGATCTTGATTGCCAGAATTATATATATATTTACAAAATCTATGCAATATCTAAATATAATATCATCCAAATTTGTTGATATTATAAAATAATACCTAAACAAACTCATCGATTTAATCTATTAAGAGCCAAGAATTAAGTATCACATGATATAATATTTTTGTGAGATATCAAAACTTTGAAGTTAGCCATGTTCATATTATCAAAGTTTTAGCTTAATTCATATTCTCAAAGCTGTAAAGTCAAGTAAAGATATGAGTGAATATACCAAATATACAAATTGAAACAAACATCAAGTTACTTTTTGGATAAAAATTTATATAATACATTAACTTTTATTAGGCATGTCATTTTATATATATATTTGAAATAGTCATCACTGATAATATTGTCTATTTATATCATAAGAGTAAAGAGTTTGCATGATGCTTAATTACATAAAAGTCATTTTTTAGAATATAAAATTCTTAAGTTGAACAACATCAAATACAATCTTGAAATAAGAAGTAATAATAAATTTCAATAAGTCTCAACTTCAAATACAATATTGAAATAATTAATAATAATAATTAATTATGAGTAAGTCACAGCATAATTATTATATATAAGATAAAGGATAGCTTGAAAGGCATAAAATCTTAATTACTCAAACTCATTAGATAATTTCTTTTGCTTAGAATGTAACACACATTTAGAATTAAGTGTAAAGAAGAATTCTTTAAGTGTAGATGATCTATCTATCTATTGTCCTTAGTTCTCTTTTAGGGAGTAGTCTAATAACTTTTTAACTTAATCTTACAATGACATTACTTTGATCCAAGCTTAAGTAAGTATTATCATTTTCTTAACTAGTTGAGTAATCATTTAGGAAATGAGTTTTTTAATATTGAGCAAAGCCACTATTAAGTCAAATCTTTATCTTGAAGTTGGTTGAATTCAATTTTGAAAGTTTTTTTTTTTATTTTTTTTTACTTTTAGATCAAACTTCTTCAAATTTTCTCTAACAACTCATTAGGGGAATAAGCCAACTATGTCCCAAACAACAAATAACCATGGAACACTAATTAGTTCCTACATGTGAGATGGTTGTAGTTTAATAGAGTGCATTTTTTTTCTCTGAGCTTTCCAAAAACATGCTTATCTTTGAATTCTATTTGTCAAAGTTCTTTCATAACAATGACTAACATATTTTTTTTTAAAATTAACCTCCTTCAATTCCCACAACTTCATTATTTGTGAAACACTAAGGTTTATCTAAGTAAAATATATTTTAGTAATGCATCCTCAATTAGTAGAAAATGAATTAATTTGATTCTAAATTCTTCTAGTCCTTAACTATAGGAAAGTTTTTCTTTATTTGAAGAATCTAATGAATGGATTAATTCAAATTAGGATGAATTCAACCACAACTTCCATGACTTTCACTACTTTAATCTTAATATAAGATAAATATTGGGTTAATCTCCCATCAAGATTCCCATTCTCTTAAATTAAGTTGCCTAGTTATTTTTCTATATTGGGGTTTTTTTTTTTCAATTTTAATATACTTGAATTTGACAAATCCAAATTTTTTTTTGCTTTATATTAGTATCCCTTCATACTTCCTCCCTTCTATCATATTGTCTATTTATATCACATATAATGAATTGATAGTAAACCTTGTTACCCCAACAATGAGTGCAAAATACAATTCTACTATCAATGCTTCATACTTATCTTTGTATTTTATGATTGAGAATGGATTCTTATTACATGAGTAAGCTTTATACTTATTCAAATCCTTAGCATCAAGTCATCTCCAAATTAACATAAGGAATCCAAAGAAGTCACCCTTGATTTCATCATCATTTTTGCAATTGGTTGAGTGAAGTTAGTAAGAAAATTAGCAAATTCTTGTGCTTTGATAACTAGTTGGTTCTATAATTAGCAAATTACATGAGTAAGCTTTATACTTAAGTAAGTATTATCATTTTTACTCCCATATATCATTTCTAACAAATTGATTAAGCTCTTCTTG